GCATGCAAAAATATCATTGTTAATGGTCTTCGCAGGTATCCCACGACATACTTTTGCTCATATTCACTGCAGCTTATCCTGCTATGCATATCAAGTTAGCTGGATTTTAATCCACTCTCAGATTCCTCAATATAAGGTCCATTTATAAGTGCTGTCCTGTCAGAGTTTGGTGAGGCAGATAGCAAGAAAAAGGGTTACTTTAGTATTGCAGGTGGGGAAAGTGGCATATTTTCACTGCTGTTAAAATGCTGGAATTTGGAATTTCTTTGCTCTCCACTTGCCACTAAGAAAATTCTTCATATTCTTTTTTTTTTTTTTTTTTTTTTAAATTACATATGGGAGAGATGCATGTCCTCATCTATATTCTCAAACAGCTGGGTAATAACTGCATTATTTTATCTTTGGTCATTTCAGGTAGAGGGAAGGAGGTTGACTTGTGGCATAAAAATTATATTTGAAATCAGGCATCAGTCACTTGAAATAAAATATGTACAAGTCATTTCAGTGGCTTTCCTTTTTRTTAATAGTGCTACCTTACTAGTAATATAACTAATCAAGTTCATTCATTTGCAATAACATTTCTCACGTCTGCAAAACTATTTCCCAATAYTTCAACTTTCCTACTTACTTTTTTACCTAATCAGTTTCAACTTTTTTATTTTGAGCCTTGTTCCTGAGTTAGAAGATTGAGCTGTAACTCCACAACCATTGTTTTAATTGATATTGCTTTAATTGAATCTAATATCTGGCTATTCCTGAGAACTAAACAGAACGGGGAGACGGAATATGATTTTACGTCAGGCAACATTATAAAAATCCTTYCTCCCTTTTTACTTGCCACAGGAATTGGTATTCCTTTCCATCTGCAGAGCTCTAATTCTTCCCATGGTGCATGCACACAGCTGTGTGCAGACTGAAAAATAACTCTCTAAAGCTAAAGTGAGAAACAGCAGCGGGAAACTGGAGCAAGAAGATGCAGACTGCCAAGATGGGCATATGTAAGGTTTTGCACYAAAGTAATCAGATTGGGATAGGGATAGAATCAACACAGTAGTGTGTTATTTAGGCTGCTTGTGAGGGAAAATCATGCAAGACATCAGGTTCAGACGCAACAGAAGCAAGCAATGAAAGTAATTTTAGAATTCATGAGGAGAAGAAATTAAAATACTTAGATGAAGACTTAGGCTTTAAAAGTATGCAATTATTCAAATTACAGATATTCTGATGTTTTGAGAGATGCCGCCATTTTTATGTTGGCAGGATTATGTGGAWTTTTTTGTGTGTGTTTTAATGAAAAGAGCAACATTTCGAATAAGTAAAATTTGATATGTAGGAAATGATCTGATAGTTTCAGATTAGAGTAAAATTTAATACTGTGAAGACCAGTGTCAGCTGTTAAAGTTAAGCAATTCTGCTGTTTCCCCACTTAGAGCTGAAATATTTTCAATTATTCTATCACTAAGCTTCTAGTTAATCTAACTTAATTGGCACTTGAATAAAAGTATAAAATTTTAGATGTATAATATGCTTTGAAATTAATATTTTGTCACATAACGTTTGAAATTATATAGCCCTTTGATGTTGAACTCAAGTTTGTTTTCTTTAAAAGAATAATCCATACTTTTGGTGTTTCCACTTGCAAATTTATTTTACATCTTTGGTTGCAAATCCAGGTTCATTATCAATGTTGATCTGTCATGAAATAAGGCAAAGTTGAAAATATTTCATTTGTCTTGAGAGGGAAAACCCAGATTTTTAGAAAGATGTTCCAACTGAAGTTATCTTTTATTCAATTCCTTTTTTTATTTGCACCCTGTCTTCCTTGCCAGCCTGTAACACTGCTTCATTGGCCTGTGCTCAGTCCTAGGCAGGTCTTGGGGAAAGCATTTTGTGTTTGCCCTGTTTTCWCTCTACAGCAGGTGTTGCTTTATGGCCATGATTCAAATTAATCATCCCTCTTAGAAAAGAACAGCAGCAAACCTCTGATAAAATATTACAGTCTTTCCTAAGAAGGAGGGAAAGACATTACGCACCAAAGGGGATGAAAGTAAGTAGATATTGGATAGTTACCCCAAGACAACAAGTGAATAAAAGGAGGATGGGACCAAAAGCAAAAAAAGAAGAGAATACTGAAGTGGGACACTAGCTGCTGCTCATTCATCCCTGGAGGATGGAACTCATTCAGAGAGCCCAGAAACAGCAGGGCAGAGGGATTGTTGTAGCTCCCAGCAGCACTGGAATCCCACCGCAGGGGTGCAGCTCCTGGGGCTGAGAATAACAAGTTTGAAGGGCTGCGAGTAAAACAGCAGGGAAGGTTCTGGAGGGCCCCATCTCTACTTGTGCTCCTCTGCTACAGAAAGAGCATAAATCTGAACAGCCARTCATGCCCATGTCCATTACTCCGTGGAGATTTTCCAATTTATGCTTCTGGTGGGCTGCAGAATTAGCTCAGGAAACAAGCTGTCCCCCAAGAGACAGTCTGCAACAGTACCTTGGCTTGATAGGCAGACTTGTAATTACCTTAAACTCATCAGGCTCTAATTTGATTAGCCAGCTTGACGGCTTGATGCCAGAGCTTACAAAAAAAAAAGCCAAACAAACCACAACGAGCTTGCAAATGAAATCCCTGATAACCAGSATCCAAAACTCTGATTCCCACACAATGGCGTGTGACACATGGATTTTACAAGGMATTGCCTTGTTAAATGCTTATCTGCAGCCCTAACCTGAGCTGGTGAAAGTTCTTCATTTATTTACTGTTGTTCTTTTTATCTCTGGAGTAAAATTGGATGAGAATAAAATTCTGTATATAATTAASTGATTCACATTTACATTGATTAATTTTTTATATTAAAGATATTATAATCCTATATTAATGCTATAATTTTAGAAAAGGCAACAATGTGTAAAAAAGGGCTTCATTAACTCAAATTGCAGTTTACCTCTCATTATAGTTGGGATAAAGAAATGTGTTGAAAACAGTGTTGAAGTATACTCTGTCACCAAAACTTAATCATTGAATTCTGCTATTTTGGACTGAATATACCTTAGTATATAATTGGTTACTTGCCCCTCTTTCTTGCCCTCCCCAAAACCTCTACAAATTTTTCTTTCTCTGTCCTATGGTAGGCCCAAAATATTTGATTAATGTTGATTAGAAGCAGATTAATTTTAATTTCAGATCTTTAGAAATCAGCTTGGATTTTTATCTGCCTGTGASTACCTATTTGCTTTCAGTTGTATTTCTGTGGAACTTATTTACATTAATATTAAAGCTAGTAAACATTAGAGATTAACATTCAAAAGTTGTAAGAAAGATGAAACCAATCTTGTATGAAATTAGGCCAAGGTCTGCATAAATTTTGAGTTAACACTCATAAGGGAAATGAATGCATTTTTAATTGTTTTCTTTCTTTTCTGGGTCCATTCTGGAAAAACAGATTTTTTATTATATTTTAAAAGATTAGGAAGATAGTAAARGCAATATGATTCTTGGGTCATTCTTTATTAAATAAGACATTTTGAGATRGTTATAATGAACAGTGGAGATAATSTCATATATGGCAAATCAACTTCTTGAATTACAAATACCTCTTACATATGGTTGAAAAAATCCCATGCAGAGATTATATAGAGGGATTGTTTTAGTACCTACAAATCAACATTATCACACCAAATTTTTAAAGAAATGTACATGTCATGAGGCAGATGTGTTCTGTGCATTCTCCCAGCAGGTGATTGTTCAGTTTAGTAACACTCATTTCTTTCATGACTCTGAGTTTGGATTTGTTGTCTTCTGAAAAATTTTGCCATTAGGGATTAGAAGTGCAGGTCACTAATACTTCTGTAGCCAGGCAATATSATAGTAATAGTACCACTAATGCTGTTTAACTTTACAGGGAATATATTTTATATTGTGTGTCTCAGAAACCTCATATTTTGCTACTTTTAAGACAGTCACTTTGGTAAAAACAATGAACATTGGGAAACCTTACTTTTCATGGTATGGAAAACAAACCATATTACATGGTTGATTTTATTAATTGCTGTTCTGTGTGTATCTGYTCAGGCCCTATATTTGCCRTTGCAATTTTTAATTTTTTTTGTGAAGTACAGATGGTTTCTCCCCTAGTGTATGTTTGCAGTGCTGCCCATTCTGTGGTACCGTGACACCTCACCTCTCTAGCTATAGAAGGGCAACATGGAGCTTTGTGTTGACTTATCCATGGCCAGCCTGTTCCTAAATTTTCTCCAAGTGCTTCAGAGCTCAATTTGAACAGTGCCATTCACTGATTCTTAATTTCTGATATTGTTGGCACAGAAGAATGTGYTTAGTTAAAAATCTGACTGCTTTGAATGCAAATCAGAGAGCCGAGGTGCCTGAYCAGAATTGATGATACATTTCTTCATGATTTTTCTTCACTGCGTGCATCTGCTTATGCATATTTGCATCCAATTGGCAACTCTAAACACCTTATAAGAAAACACATGCTTATAAATATCTACATTCAAGAGGTCAAGAAAGATTAGATATAATTCAAGTGATCAATTTCAAGTTTTCAATTTTTTTCCTGATTAAAAATTGACCTTTAAAACAGTTTAGTACTCTGGCATAATTTTTTCTTTGACTAAAAATACTGAGAAGCCTGGCAAGGTTTGATTTTTTTTTTTTTTTTT